ACTATCTGCAGCAAGATTGGTGACTGGAAGCTGATTTGCACAACGCTTGGCTGTGACGATGAATTCATCCACAGATTCGAGCAGCAGTACCATGACGACGCCTACCTCTGTTGTTACCATGCTCTGAGGACCTGGCGTGACACCTCTAAACTCAGCTATGACGACAAGGTCGACATCTTGTGCCAGATACTTAGTATCTGTGGCTACACTGACTGCGCCGGAATTATCTACGACAAGCATCGCACCGAGACCAGTATTGTGTTCTGCGACAACCAGATCGACATTTACAGCAAGAAGTTGAGCGATGACTGGAGGGCGTTCTGCATAGCCTTGGGCTGCGATCACGACTTCATCAGTAAGATCGATCAACAATGTGGCCATGACGCCTACCTGTGTATCAGCACTGCCCTCAAGTACTGGCGTGATACTGTGGACTGCAGCTATGTTGAGAAGATTGACCGCTTCTGCCATGCTTGTGACAGCTGTGGCTTCTACGACATTTCGGTGGACTGCAGAGACAACTTCCGTCATGAGGTTCATGGTGCGTACTTTCTCAACATGCTTTACAGAAAATACCTTTGCTCAGTTCAACCTAATTGTTCTCTTTTATGGACAAAATTTCTGTATATTCATAACGACTTCCTTGTTGCCCTTTACTTAGTTACTTCTTTGCGCTACGAGACGTCTTCTGCCTACAAGACTGGTTCCATCGTCGTTACAGGTGCGTGTTCACTTTCAGTAGAATTGACAAGTTCTTAAAATATCCATATCAGTGTTCCGGATTGTTCAATCGGGCACGGGACTGGGCATGAAATAGCTGTTATTGATCTTATTTATCGTGTCTTGTTATTTGTTTTCATATGCAATACATATTAATGACATGCAACATGCTTTAAACCTTTACAGGACTTGCCCTTTGTGACGACACCATTGACATTGTGTGCAAGACCATCGGTGGCAGCTGGAAGCACGTCTGCTCGGCCCTCGGCTGCGACGATCAGTTCATCACCAAGGTGCCGGAGCCTTTACTTTTGTTCTTGCGTCTTACAACGATAAACATTTAAATCCATTAATCCGCCTTGAATGCTACAGCATTTGGCTTATGAGTCCATAACATCTGTCTGCTTGTTTGTATTGTTAAGATTCGTTATAGCAGGTCTTCGAAACAAGTCTGTATCTCCTTTTGCCTTTGACATGAATATCACTCATGTTTTTATCTACCGACTATAGATCGAAAACGAATGTGGAAGCGACTCGTTCTACTGCTGCTCTACTGCTCTGAAGACATGGCGTGATACTGTTGACGTAGACTATGCTACAAAGGTACATCCTCGTCACCCTTCTTACGCTGTTTGTCTCGCTGTACTTTGTGATATCTCGTTCATATCTCTCTGTGGGTTTAATTTTTGTCCCACTTTGCGATGAAATGGAACTATTGAAGTTATCACGAGTAATAACAGGCGTATAAAACTGTTACATCACGTCGATGAGAATATAATTAGTAGGCATCCTTTCATATCGAAAGATGATGGTAGCACTCAAGGTCTGTTGTTGTTTATCCATGTACATGTGCAGCGTCTAGTGTGACTAATCAGTCGATGAGAAGACCACGAATAGAACATGGCGTCTGATACGTTTTTGCGTTTCTATAGGTCTCCGTGTTCTGTTCCGCTCTTCGCACCTGTGGCTTCACTAAGACAGCCATTTCGGTGTCGTCGAAGTACCGCACAGAGCTGTGCGTGGCCCTGTCTGATCACCACATCGACATCTACTGTAAGACTATCAGTGGCGACTGGAAGACCATCTGCCAGGTCCTTGGATGTGATGAAGCATTCATCACTAAGGTACCGTTTTTCTTCCTCCGTTTCATCTAAATGTTGCTCATTATATGCTATGAACGCGCAGATTGGTTTATGACCACAAATCAACAGCGTAATCGAAACAATTTAAACATAATCGTGGTGTGTTACGCCGAAAGGTGGTTATACCGGCTATACAGATACAGATACAGATAATGCGTAATGAACACAATAAACAATGACTCCTTTTCCGTGTCAAGTTTCTAATCCTAAATACAAGTTACCGTCTATATGTACATTTATGTCAGTCATATTATGCTACATTTTTAACATGATTCTACTACGTATATCTGACTTGTACTCACTGCATCATTGTGTATTTCCTGCTGAAACAGATTGCAGATCAATGCGGCTCGGACAACTATCTGTGCTGCAGCACTGCTCTCAAGACATGGCGTAACACTGTGGACTGCTCATACAGGTTTGTACACGATACTTCCACGTATTTAACGCTTTGCCATGTAGTCATTCTTAGCGAGGTTGATCAAATACTATAGGACAAAAGTCGCACTGCATGATAAAGATGTCTTTGTGCTGCGTTGTTGCTGATTGTGATTTTCGTCTTCGAAATTACAGGGAGAAGGTGGATCTGTTCTGTAACGCATGTGACGTCTGCGGATATCTGGAGGTGTCTCACGACTGCAGAGGCCTCTACGATGATGAAGTGTTCGGTACGTGCCTTTCGTAATCCCAGTATGCTTTCTTGCTTTTCTTCGTGGTAGTTACAAATGCATTATACGATTGTTTGAATACTATAATAGATTGCCGTAGTATAGTTTAACTAGCGGCTGCGTACATTGTGATCTTAAGCGTAGAATTAAGTCAGTTTTACTGTCTAATGTTTGCTTTTGATTTTAAAATCTTCAGTCTCAGCAACCAGCGTGAGCACTGGATCTACATCTGTTGTCAGCACAGGCTCCACTGAATGTAAGTACAGTGCTGTCTGTAAGAGTTTTGAACAGTGACTAATGTAGAGCCAACGTCTTTCGTCACGCTCAATAGCATTGTATTGACTGAGGTATTTCTCAGCCCAAGGAGTGTTTGATATATCACACCATTAGCTACGTTTGAATAAACTATTTCAAGATGCTATAGCGGCATTACCCTCTTATGTATGCCGTTAGTTATATTGTATTTCACAGACTAGAATATAGTCTAGTTTCTCATCTTTGTTTATCTTGTTTTAATCTTTAGTCACATCAACCAGCTTGATCACAGGATCTACATCAGTTGTCAGCACAAGCTCCACTGAGTGTAAGTCCAGTCTGTTATACACCATTGGATTCTACGTTACACTTTTAAAAAGAAATAGTTTGACAGTATCATCGTTAATTCATTGATAGACGCCAGTAAGCCATTCTTCCAGGGCAATTCACTACGCGCGCACCATAGGAGCTACGCATTGCAATGTAGTATTGCTGCTATGATGGTATTACATTGACTAATTCTACGTATCATCCTAAATCCATGCACGGTTTATGCCATTAGAATTCAATATCTGAAATATGTAACTGTATTTTTGTAAGTATGATATGAAATCCTTACTTTGCCCGTTTCACGTCTGCAGTCAGCACCGGTACAGGCGTGGTGGTCACAGGTACCTCCGCCACCAAGTCAGGCTGCTGCCCGGGCGTGACGGACGACTCTGCCTGCCCGGTGTGTCCACCTGGACAGGTCTGCGACGGAACAAAGTGCGTGTCGCCCACAGACTGCCCATGTATCCACGATGGCGCTGTCAAGAAGGTACGACGCCGGAAATTTTATCATTTGGCGGAGGGTGCACTTATACTATTATATAGTGTGTTACATACTAGTACATGTAATGTGGTAGCTTGTACACTCGCGCCAAAATTGTTTATCGCAAGTCTGTGAAGTTTGTTTACGTGTAACAACGTCTCTGATTGTGTTATTCTAGGCTGGTGCTATCTGGAGGGAGGATCGTGGCTGTGTCAAGTGCGTGTGTCTGAACGGACTGGTCAACTGCGTCCACGAACACTGTGATGTCACAAGCTGCCCAAGCGTGAGTACATTCTTATCAATCAGAGGCGCTATATACACCACAAACTGGCAAACTCCATCTACATGTCCTAACTGTTCATGCTATCGATATAAAATCCTACAGACATACCTGGAAAGGGGCATCGTAAGGAGAAAACGGCAGTCTTTGTCCTAATTTCGAAGCGCCGGCTCTTACCGCGCTTTTGTGACCGCTATATGACCTGACCTGACCTATGCTGACCTGACCTACCACCCGGTAATCGGGATAGTGTCGAAAGAAGTGCGCTTGTAGAGTGTCCCACGGCTACACAATCCATTGATGATCTAGTGTGGCTATTTGTCAATTTTAAACGTATCACAAGCAGATTTTCTGTCCTTTCGTCTTATTTTCTTGTGAAAAAGTTATCTGTGTTCGTTACCAGTGTATTGCGAATGTTTTACTCGATCAGTGATATTCTACAAGCTTTTGACTACTGTCGTGACGAGGTGCTCTCTACTGTCACCCTAGTTCCCCCTGTGCTATCCGGATATGTTTCCTTTGACTGTGATGCATCTTCAAGATATTAACCGTGCTACGTTTACACCTACAGGGCTACCGTATGCACTTCTCTGAAGACTCCTGCTGTCCCACGTGCGAGCCCGACCACTGCAGCCCCGTGGAGAGCGTGTGCCACGTCACAGGTGCCTGCATCCCGTCCGCATGGTGGTGTGACGGCAACGAGGACTGTCCCAACGGAGAGGATGAAGAGAAGTGTGGAGGTATAAAATATGCAAATTTGTTAAACCACGGTTTAGTACAAATGTGGAGGTAAAGATGTGAACCACTGTTTGTAAGACCACAGTTTAGTACAAGTGTGGAAATAAAGATGCAAACCATTGTTCTTTAGTAAACACCATATTATGTTTTAATATAAAAACAATATCAGCATATTGTTCATATTAAATTAAAACCTATAATAGCGCCAGTTACTCTTCCTTACAAAATACTTTCTTTTTTTCAGTGTTCACAGTCAGTGTGCCAACCAAGCCACCAAAGTCTGGTAAGTATCCATATAGACCGTTTTTACTTTTACATGTTTGTACATGGAATGAGCGATTATATTTTTGGCGACGCCTCAGGGGCGGAGGCATTTGTGTAAGTACTGCGATCGCTTTGAAAGAATTTCAAAAATTGCATGAATGCATTCCCTAGGGAATTGGTTTTCAGATAGCCTCCGGCCTTGTGGTCATCGGAACAAGCAGGAAAGGCTTATGTTACCGGGCAAAATGTGGCTTTTTGCACACAGAATATTAATGATTGTCTTTATTGATATTTCAAATATGTTTTCTTCTATCAAGAGAGCACAAATTTCTTGCTCAGGAGCAGCATATGCTTCAAATATGTTTTTAGTTGCAACTATATGATGTTGGTCGTTTTTTATAACTTTACTGTGTGACACATGTAGTGTAACAGTGATGTTTTGTGTAAGGAATTTTATTCACTTGTGTGTTTTCTATCATGTATGTTTGTGTCAGTCTTGCTTTTTTATTTATTATTTTCTTCGCTTTCATGATGCTGTTGCAGTCCATGCTTGTTTTTCAATTTTCTTGGCTGCAAAACATGAATGCACACCCCAATCCTTCCACGACTAGGTTTCATGCTAAGGTTTCATGCTAGCCAGTGAACTCCTGCTGTAGTCTGCATCTCAGGGTGGACATGGCGAAGTTTACCTGTGGGTATAAAGAGAGAAAAGAGCATAAATGAATCTATGCCAACTTTGGCCAGCTTTGATTAATTTAAATTAACAAGATTTAGGGTATGCAAAGCATGTGAGTCGATTAATTTTACAGAATGCAATGAAGCAGACACATATATATAACACATTTTCTGGCAATGAAAATTGCGACATCATGAAGTATACATGCTGTATGGGATTTTGCTGCCAGGTAATTATGAATAGCCTGCGTGCCAGACCCCAGCACTTAGAACAAGGAGCTTAAGTCCTTGCTTGGAATAAAGGAAGTGCTTCTTCTTTCTGAGACTCTTGACCAGGCCTCTACACTGCCCAACACGCCACAGTTTCGGAGCTGGCTTCCTTCTTCAGTTTATCTAGACGTATAAATTAGACCCCGGCTGCAAATTCTGTGTTCCAGGCGTGAGATTTCCCTGACTGAATTGAGTATCGTGGCACAGGGGCCTGGCACCCAGGCTACACTGTTTCCCGGCAATGACATCATAGTAAATATGGTACCGTATTTCAAAACACGCAGCTTTTCATGAAAGAAGTACTATAGATATGCGAACATTGCCTAACCATCGTGGTTATGTACAATATTGCATGATGATGAAATAAGGATGGTTAGGCACTCACCATGTATTTTGTTCCACTTTTCGATTGTATTCTTGAGTAACTGCTGTGTTTGTCGTCATGTAGAGCTGAAAGAAACAGTGTAGAACAGGTTAGCGAAGTTTGTTCCATTCTAGGGTCGCGTTATTCAGCATAGTTCGACAGCGTTCAGCTTGACTGCGGATGTGAAACTTGACCTTATTATAGTTTAAGAGTTTGACTTGTTCCAACACAAAGAAGAAACTCACCATGTACGTA